CACGCTAAGAGCGACGAGCAGCAACACTGCTGCGACTCTCCGGACTACTACTTCTAATGGTGCTACTACTTGTACGCCGCACGGTGGCGCCCGTGATGCCCGTGATGCCCGTGATGCCCGTGATGCCCGTGATAATCCTGCTGCCGACGAGAAGGTACCATCGCCATCGCCACGCTCTTGAAGCCGTCGCAACACCTGCCTATAGATATCACCATTAGTAGTACCAGGAGAAGCTGCGGCGGTACTAATAGTACTACCACTACTACTAGTGGCAGTAGGAGTAGGATTAGAAAGCTCCGGCGAAGACGGCGGCGCGGTGCGTGATGGCGACCGCGACGATAGCCGCAGCATGCCGCGGCGACGGAGGCGCATCTCGCGACTCTCCTCCTTGGCGGCACGTGAAAGCGCAACTCTCTTGGTAAGACGAAGAGCGTCGTTCGCGAAGGGAGGGGCTCGATCGCGCCGAACCCGGCGGCGCCGGATTCGCTAGCCTCGCCGCCGCGGCGATTTGACCCCCCGGATCGAAGGATAAAGACAGCTCGTCGTTTTTTGGAGTTCTCAAACGACACTTCACAGTCGGAGACCTAGTACTAGCATCCGCCGCGTGCCGCCTTCGCGAGCCGCAGGGTCTTCTAATAGCTATTACTAGCTCCGACTCAGACATCACAAAAACCCCTCGTTTTGAAATCGGGGGGAGTCAGGCTTCGAAAGTTGGATTGCGTGGGTTGTGCAATTTTTTCGCCCAACCTCTCGCGAAAATGCGATGCTCGACTGATTGAATGTTGTTTTCGTGTCCCCAATCAACTTCGCGACTCGAATTGCGACTCGGACAAGCAGATTTAGACTCGGCACGGTCAAATTCTGGTGCAACGTCCCCAATTTGACTTGACTGACGTGGCAGGTTGAGAGCTTTGGGATGATATACCTCAGCGGACGAAAAATGCCGCCCAATTTCGCGGTTCAAAAGGGACAAGGCCCCCCCTCGGGATTGACGACCTCCCGACGACCTCCGAGCTCCCAGACGGGCCCAAATGGCGTCCCAGGGGCCTCGGGAGCCCTCGGGATTGTCGACAATCCGACGACACCCGTTTGCGCTGGGAGATTCCTGAGAAGGAAATCTCAGCGGACAAAATTCGCCACGTCGAGCCGCGGATGCCTCCACGCGGACCAATAGGGAGGTGCGAGACCCGCCCCACCGATTACAAGGCTGCCACGACGTGGGCGTCGTGGCCACGCGTCGCTCTAGCGGTGCAAACCCACGCGGCGCAAATCGGACCGTCCACATCTTCACTGTCTTGTGGCATCGCGGGTTGCCAGGGAAGTCGGTGTCGACCAGATCCATGTCTGCTTGCCTTAATTTCTTCACTGGGGCGCCAATGGCGGTCGCAAGCCGCGTAACGCACGCCCATTCCGACGTGGAACAAGCGGCTTACGCCCCTTCCGTGCAGCGCGGCGCCCAACTAGCCATGCCTGGCACGTGCCACGTCGGACAGTGCGCCGCCTTTACGAGAACACATGCACGGCGGCGGATGCATTGGGGTGTGCGTGACGCGCGGCAGCATCGTAGTCGCTCAGGACCATACCCGTCCGTTGCCCCGCGAGCCTGCTCATTCGCTTGTCCGTTCCTGCGTTCCTTCCTGCTCTCTCGTTCCCTTGGAATTTTCAGCTGCCAGTCTGTCATCGCGCCTGTAGGTTGCTCGACAGCCGATTGTTCGTCCAAGTCGGCACAGGTTCCACGTCGCGAGTCGACGTAGCAAGTCGGCGACGCATGGCCAGAGGTCGCCCGAGGGCCCAACAGCCGCAACCCATCCCACCCCCCGCCGACTCGGTAGACGCCGACATCAAGGCGCAGCTGGAACAGCTTGAACTCGAAGCCGAGCTAGACGCGCTTGAGCGAGAATTCGAAGAAGACGAAGACCGCCTGACGCTTCGCGCGTTCGCCGCACCCGTCACACAGTACCGTCTCTGGTTTACCACCCCCCGCGATCTCGAGGTCGACGCCGAGATAGACGTTATTGAGGGACATCTCGAGGACGACCGCCGCGCAACTGTTCGGGCGTACACCGCACCCGTGACTCAGTACCGGCAGTGGTTTAACAACCTCCCCAACGCACACGGACGACGGTAGAGCAGCAGACGTGTACCGACATGGCCGACGTCGACATGTCCGACGCTAGGCCATCCACCGACCAGGGTCCGACGACCACCGACCGCAGTCCGACATCCACCGACCACAGTCCGACACCTACCGACGAAGACAACCTGCAGTTACTCTACGATCTGGACAAGCTGACGCAGATCCCAGAAGGGGTGTTCACCACGGACGTTCCGCCACCGCCGATAGGGAAGTTCAACAAGAAGAAAAAACAGACTCCTACGCAAAATGGTCGGCCAGGTACCTCGTCGGCACCGGCCGCCCCTGGAAACCAGGTCGATGACGAGGACGCGGAGGAGGAGGGGGGGGAGGAGGAGGAGGAGGAGGAGGAGGAGGAGGAGGAGGAGGAGGAGGAGGAGGAGGAGGAGGAGGAGGAGGAGGAGGAGGAGGAGGAAAGCGATGACGAAAACGACGACCGTCCACCTCGTAGCTCTAATCCGCGCACCTTGGACGAACGACTCAGGCGGGAACTGCAATTCATCGACATACTGCTCGACCAGGACGAGGACGAGGACCAGGAGAACTTGGCGGTGCCGCGCGAACAGTGGAGAGCGGCAGACTTCGTCGAGGAGGACATGGTTTACGCGTGCGTAGACGTGCTCGTCATGGACGCTCTTCGCCACCTGCAAACCGTGGAGAGGAACAGCACGCTGAGGCAGTACACCTCGTGGATCTATCACTACAAGAGGTGGGCGGCGAAGATGTTGAAGCAAATTCGCAACAAGCTTCCGCAGGAGTACAGGCTTAAGCACGTCGACGAGATAGGGCACTACATCCGGGAGAACAAGAAGAAAAACTGGGACCAAGAGGCCGATGTCCCCCGGTCTCACGTGTGGCTGCACGGCCCTAGGGTCACCAAGGACCGGCTTCGCGCATACGTGAAGTACATGATTCGGGAGTTGAACCTCGATGCCGAGTCCGGCAAGGGGGCCGACAACGCCACAGGAACACAGCCGGTGCAGTCGACAACGGTACACACGCTCCTCGGGCGCATAAAGGCATGCCAGATGGCGGCGAGAGTGGAGGCGACGCTCTTCCGGGAGACGGAACTGAGCATCATGAGGGAGATATCGGTGGTCAGGTCGGAGGTGCGGTACATGATCCGCACCAAGAACGAGCGGGACATCAAGTGAGTTTATGTTTTAACCTACGTCGACCACTCTCCTGCTGTCATGATCTTTGTCGACGCCGCCCTAAATACCCCTTGCCCATGGCATTGTTGGCAGGAACTGCGCCGATCGCCGTCGCGGAACCATCGGCGATACCTACACCGCCGAACAGTTCCGCCAGATCATGTTCAGGGTGCTGCCGGCGTGGGCGGCCAAGGCGTGGAACCCGCGGGGTACGGGTCCTTCGCAGACGCTGTGGAGGTTTCTTCTCTTGAAGGTGCTCACGCTACTCTCCCACCACTCTCTCCTGCGCGGTGCAAGCATCCGCGAGATCACTCTCCCCGACATCTTCTTGTACCGACTGGCGAGCACCTCCTCGATCAACCCGGAGAACCAGCCGGTCGTCATGGTCATCGGAGCGCGGAACTCGAAGACGTCCAAGGATGCTCGTCTGCAGCAGAGCTACGCCGCGCGGCACCTCGAAGCGGAGTTGTGCGCCGTCGGCGAGACGGGCCTGTGGTTGCACTTCGTCCTCGATCAGATCGGTCAGTTTCACGGCGTCCGCCTCATTCCGCCGGTCGACACCAGCACACGCGCTAGCTGGTACAAGAAACACCTGTTCTTCGCCAAAAACGACACCGACCAGGGTGAGCTCTCTGCGGCAACCCACCAACGCTGGACGCGGCAGTTGTGGGACACCAACAAGGTGTTCTGCAAGAGGAACGTGCACGCCGCTCGAGCGGGCGGGGCCCAGGAGCTGGCTATCGACGGCACGCCGCGCGCCGAGATCGCGGAGCTTGGACACTGGGCTCTCGACAAGATGACGCGAGCGTACATCACCGCCATTCCGGTGGGGGTGGTGATGAAGAAGGCCGGGTACTCGGGGTACAAGCAGGACTACTTCTTGGGTCGGAGCAGGGTGCCGCCCTCCGAGAAGCTCCTGAAGCTCCTCGCCGAGCACATATTCCCCGGCGTCGACGACATGCTGAAGGAGGTATGTTAGTCGACGCCCTCGTAGCTTGCCGCCGAGTCGTGTTGCCGACCTTTTCTGAGCTCCCCGTACCCGTGACAAATGGCAGGCGGAAGGGAAGGCTGTCGAGGGGTCAGACGCCGACAAAGCCGCGGTGCACTTCTGGCGCACTCTCCTGATGCTGCGCCGCATCGTCGCCGAGGACCTAGCGGTGAAGCTAGTCCGCACACCATGGCACCCGTACGTCCAAGGTTCCAAGCTCTGCCGGATCCCCCTCTTCCAGCACTGGGCGAAACGGGTGGAGAGCGTCGACACCGAGACGATCAACAAGCGTCGGGACCCGACCCAAATACAGCCAGAGGTAAGTCGACGATACTGTCGCCGACGTGCAGTAGGGAGTGTAAACCAAACCACCGCGGCCCTCACGTTTTTCTCCTCCTACTGCTGCAGGAAATCTCGGTGCGCATGGACACCGAGTACTACAACATGTCCCTCATGGCCCAGATGCAGAAGGAGAAAGAGCGCGCCGCGAACGAGAAGATTGATCTCCTAGAGGAGATCGAGAAGCGCGACGACGCCATCGCTGGGCTCACCGCCGAGCTAGCCCGTGTCACCGAGGCACTCCGCTTGTCGGAAGCACGGAGAGTGCCGGTGGCCCCGCCGTCGGCTCCCGCGCAGACTCCCAGCGATGGTGGATCGGCGGAGTCGGCCAGCACGGGGGCTGGAGCCAAGAAAGGGGATGACAAACCCCCGCCCCCCCCACAGA